CAGTACAAGTAGGCATATTTATTCATAAATTCATATAATACAAGAATCATATCATATATACACACTAAGTTGTTATGCATTAATTCATTTGGATTTGGCATTTTTAATTACCACGAACTTTTTCCTGCTAAATCGTCAGTTCGTTACAAAAGAGTTAACGTTGCCAAAATTAACAAGCTTATAGAAAAATTAATTTTTAGTTTTCTTCGTCAGACCTATCGAATACATCAGAGTAACGCAAATTATCGGGTAATATCTAAGAACTGGAAATGAATAATAAAAATCGACTTTACATAAATTAATTTATTTCTATTATGAAAAGAAATAATACATACTAATGCTTCATCAATCGTCATTAGATTTCATTATTCACATAATTTTCATTTTCGTTAATAGTTAATAACGCAAGTTCTATTATTAGTCAGATATCATTAATGCTGAATTTAAAATTTCTAATTTACTATTTTTATCTAAAAAAAATTTCTAATTTTTATTCTTGCGTGATGAGATTATAAGACCAATCTTCAGCTAAGTCTTAGGTTGAGTCTTTGATTGAGTCTTTAGTTTTAGATAAATCTTTCGTGATGAGATTATAGGGCGAGCCTTCAGCTGAGCCATCAGTTGAGGTACCAATTGAGTCTTTGGCTTCAATGATTTTTTGGATTTCAGGAAGTAAATCTTGTAAAATTTCTTCATTTTGTTCATCTTTAAGATTTTTCACATATTTTCTAAGTTCATAAATTGAAGCATCATAATATCTAAATATTTGAATTATATATTAGCATATATATAATATTTGCAAATATAAATAAATCAAAATAATTACAAAATTTCTGAAAACCAGTTTTCCTTTCTTCTTTGGTGGTCAGTATCCAAAAGAGTTCAATCTCAGATAATATCTAGTAAAAATAATGATTATTTTAATTTTTTTTAACTTATAATTCATAGAGAATTTTAATTTGGTTCACCATGCACCGTGATGCACCCTGATCAGGGAGTATAAATAATGATTATTAACTGATTAAATCAGTTGAATTTTTTTTTTGTTTTAACATGTTATACTAATTACTATTAAATTTTTTTTTGCCAGTTTCAGGTTGTTTTACTATTGATGTTGTCTGTACCAGATTATCAGATCCTTTATTTGGAGTTGGTGTCATTATTAATTACTGGAGCTGTTATTTGGAGTTGGTGTATCGTGTCATCATCGATTACTGGAGCTATCATTTGGAGTTGGTGTTTTGTGTCATCATCGATTACTGGAGCCATTGTTTAAAGTTGGCGTCTTGTGTCATCATTAATTACTGGAGCCATTGTTTGGAGTTGGTGTTTCAAGTCATTGTCAATTACTGAAGCCATCGTTTGGAGTTTGTGTCATATGTTATCATCGATTAATAGAGCCGTCATTTGGAATTGGTATCTTACTTTGTGAATTGTGAATTGTATGTCGCTATTGTTGGCAGTTGCTAGTGGAACTTTGTGTTGTTATTTGGTATATCATATAGTTGTTGCTTTTTGT